TTAACATGAGATCCTAGGCTCCCAACAGCTTTCTGTACCACTAAGACACATGCTTCATGAGTGGCCCTCATTAAATCCTACAAATTAGCTCAAGCTAAGGTGTTAACACTGAAAATCATATTAGTTTTACCACTTCCCACAATTATTGTTACTTTCATAGGAGTGATACGGAAGACTTTGAATACTACTACATCAACTACTAGATCGATACCAACTTAAACACACCACTGTGGTCTGAGTGGGGTCTGTCCCCATTGGCTGGCTTGTGTGCTAGCAGCTTGGCTCCTGGTCTAGCAATGGTGGATGGTGGTGCACCTACAAGAGGTAGGCCATTCAGGTACCACTCTCAGAAGGGATGAGTGCTGATCTTACAGAGTAGGTGAGTCTCAAGAGACTGGCTAAGTTCCCCCAAGAACCAGTGTTCTGAGGAATCGTTCCGGGCCTCTGTGATCCATTTCCTTACTGGTACATGTCCAGACAGCAGCTGGCCTGTTCCCCTTCTACATTTCCACCACACTGTGACAGCCAGGATGCAAGTATAATACTATTTAGGCCCTCTAAGCACAGCAGAGACAAACGAATCTCTTCATAAAGTACCCAGCCTAATGTATGTTCTCATAGCAACAGAAAGAGGATGAAGACACAGACTAAAGATCAGCCCTGAACATTCACTCCTGCTAATAAGCTTTGGTCATTTTCTAAACCATCATTCAAATACTAATATTTGCCACTATGAAATAACTAGGGGAAAAAGTGATTTTCAATTATTTTTGGAAAGTGAAAATATCCCCCCAAAGGAGATTTCTGTAAAGCATAATCTAAGAAGAGAAAAACTATTGTGGAGTTTTCCATAGCGATGCTGCTAAATTTAGCATGTGGCTAGCAAAAATATCCCTTATCAGATACTGGCACCGTTACTAGCACCACACTCCTGACTGAATACTAGCCTCTCTATCTCATGAAAAGTAAATTGGCAAGTCCTATCATGTCATTCCCTCAGCTTGACACTGCCCAATGTTCTCCACTCAGAAAAGGTCAAATCCTCCAGCTAGACCCTGATGTCTCTGCTCCCCTGGTCAGCTCAACCCCCAACATTTCCCAATCGCCCTGCAGCCTATATGCCCTTCCTCAGAGACCCTTCCATGCCTACCTGTTCCATGTTTGTGCTTTTTTTCTCCCAACACTTCTCACAATGCACAGTTGTGTATGTATTCAAATAAGTCTCCATTGTTTGCCTACACTGCCCGATTAGCTCCATGCTGATGTGTTTGCTCAAGGCAGTCTATCCAATACCTGGCATGGTGCCTGGGCGTGGAAGGTGCTGGATAAATATTTGTTGAATAAATGAATGGGTGAATAAATTAGGAGGCTTTATGCCTATGTAACAGATCTGCCAGAAGTAAAGCAGGACTTGTGATACTGATGCTTTAAAAGCACAGTAGATAATCAAAGAATACCTGTAGTATTCCAAGAGCAAATATGTGCACAAATAAGGCTGTACAAACAGAGATCATCCAACAATAGCCCAGGTGTGCCATGCCATCATAATCTGCCTCAGCATAGAGGCTGGCATTCGTGGGTGACTAAGAGGCCCTATCTCCCCCTGTTTACCACTGGCAAAGAGATAACTTTGCTCTACCCCAGTAAGAGGCAGAAGGGAGAAACAAGGACAAAGGTGTTGGGAGAAAGACCGGGCCAGACACCAGGTCACTGAAATGCATGAAGGAGTAAACTACAGGTCAGAATGTGCAGCAGGAATCAGGATCTAGGTAAATCAGAAATATCAACAGAGAAGACAGGATCAGCAGCAGAGTGAAGTCATGTCTAATGCCACGGCCTAAAAGAGAAAGAAAGAATAACAAAGGTGCATTAGGAGTTGGGAGTTCAGCTCCCCAGTACTGCCTGTCCCCCAAAGCCTATTGTTTTATAGATTCAGTTAAATATGTAAGTGTGAAGAAACTCTGAAAATGTAGCAGCAAGAATGGCCACCAAGATGTGGGTGTATGTCTGCGAGGCCCCAGAAGGGCAGAGCTTGTGACTGAGGTCCCGGTCCCTGCACGGTGGAAAACAGATTCAGTCCCTATTCACAATACAAACAATATTCTGCATTTACTAGGTACAAGGCCTTTTGAGGTAGTGGTACAAAGGAGTAAGGCCACAATAGACCAGTGGTTAACACTGCCCCAAAACCACACACACACAAGAGTCCCTAGTTTCTCCATCTTCCTTGGCCACGATGGGCAAGGCTCAGCTATGGGATTCTCTTCTGAAAATACAAATCTTTAGTAGGGACAACTGCATAGTGAGGGAACAGCCCATTGGCAACCTCCTTCGGACATGCCTTCTCCTCTCTCACAACACTGGGCTGCTCAACTTTGTCCTGACTCTGATTCTTCTGCCCTCTCTATGACTTTTCTACTTTTGCCCTTCTTAGTCAGTTAGTTAGAGCCTGAATTTGCTTACAACCGAAGTACACTATGGCTCCTTCTTATTTGTCAATTTGCTTAGCTTAAAATGAGTATCCTGGGGTGCTGAAAAAAATTTTTTTCAGATTACAAAGAGAGTCAAGACCCAATGCTCCCAATTCTTAGTATTGAGAGTGATATGTTTAAACACAGACTTGGACAACTCACTAACAGATATATTATTTAAATACCTTGAAGCAAAATCTAAGCATATAGGTAAAACAATAAAAGATAAAACTGGCAGTAAGAAAGGTGGAGAAAGAATAAAGAAGAGCCACTGAGCCCATATACCCCATAGCTACATTTTTTTTACATTTCCTCTAAGAATAAGCCTGGGTCATCAGAGCAAGATCTCGTGTGTGAGGGTGTGTGTGTATACAAGTGTGTGCACACACAAGTGCACATTGCTAGGGACCAAATTCAGGACCCTGTACATGCTAGGCAAGTACTCTATTACCAAGCTACAGCCCCAGCTTTCTGTAGCTTTTGTAGTCCATTCTATTAACATAAAATTGTTGATTTAAAAGGGAAATAATGAACAACAGTACAGAGTCAAAAAAGAAAAGGAAGATAAATGCCAATGGCTATACAAAATTGAAAGGACTGTATTTATACAACAAGACTATTTGGGGCACTTGTCATGTACTCTCAAGTATCTGCCGTGTTTTCCTTCTTCACCAAACACTTTTACACGCCGTCCTGCACAGGCTTGTGAGTATCACCCCCAGCAGATGGTGCTGTTCAGGGAGGCTGCAGAACCTTGGAAGGAATTTGCAGATGGCTGGACTGTTGGAGGGAGTCCTTTGTAGGATATTGTGCTCAGCCTGGTTCCCAGTCCCATCTCTTGTTTCCCGGTTCACCACAAAGTGAAAAGGTTGCACTGAAAAATCTAGTCACCAGGGACTGAGTCACTTGGCCACTGTGCCATCATGGCCACCATAAACTGGCACCTCCTGAAAGTGATCCAGATTAAGTTTACTTGCCATACAGCTATAAAACGTTTCTAGTGTCCTTTACCTCCAAAGGCTTTGCTGCTATTCTCTCTCTTCCTTTCTTCAGATCTTGGTAAAGCTAGATTTACTTATATAATGTTATTTCCTCTTCCAACATTCAGTTTCTTTCTGTAGCCAAAAACATGTCCACTCAACATTAATCTTTTCTCTCTCTTTGGTACTTGGTGTTTCCTTTTTCATTCACTCATCATTATTAGCAGACTATCTGAGCTGGTACAATCTATCAGATTCTCTTAATGGCACTGCTTCGGGGCTTCTTAACACCAAAGTGTTCACAGGCTGATCACAGTTAATACATGCTACACTTGATTTCAAGGAAGCGTCATGTTCTCTAAAGACTGGTGTCCAGCTTGTTCAAAGCCATAATCACAAACACACCCAGTAACCCCGTAAGAAACATTACACATTAATATTTTACCAAAAAGGCAACTACTATAAAGCAATGAATTGATTTTATTGGAAGAAATCTTGTCATGACTGTAACACACAAAAATCTGTCATAGTAATAAATTACACTGACAACCAGACTGGAAACTCAGGTTTTTCTCTTGTTTATTTATTAGAGAACACATGATTTAGACCTTTTTTTTAAACGTAACATTTTATTTTCTTCAAACTTAAGTCTTAGTTACTGTTTTATTGCTGTAAAGAAACATCATGACCACAGCAACTCTTATAAAAATTGAATTGGGGCTTGCTTGCAGTTTTAGAGGGTTAGTCCATGATCATCATGGCAGGAAGCAGACAGACATGGATGGCACTGGAGCATAGCTGAGAATTTTACATCCTGATCCACAGGCAGCAGGCAGAGAGAGATTAACACTGGGTCTGCTGTAGGCTTTTGAAACCTCAATGCCCACCCCCCAATGACTCGCCTTCTCCAGTAAGGCCACATCTCCTAATCTTTCCCAAGTAGCTCCACCAACTAGGGGGGACCAAACATTTAAATATATGCACCTAAGGAGGTCATCCTTATTCAAACCACCACCAACTTATCGGGAAGAAATAAGCACAATGAACGTCCCATATCACTTAGACCTGTGTACTTCACTTCATATTAATCATGCAAATTCGATTCCAAGTAACATACAGACAATGTGAAACATGCTGCGCTCAATTGACAGACGGAAAATAGCAGATCTCTGATAAGCTTATATCCAGACTGAATACAAAAATTCCTCAAGATAAAAAGCATCAAATGGCTTTCAAACTCAACTGTAACTTGAGGAATGCTAGCAGCCTTGTTTCCCAAAACAGGGCATGGACTTCAGAGATCCCCGGACCGGCCGTCCTGAAATGTCTCCAGGGATGCCTGAGCATTAACAATGGAGAGCAGGGAAGAGGGACACTGAGGGCACCTACTGGGTCAAGGTCAAGGGTGCTGCTAAACATCTCACAGGACACAGCACAGCTTTTCACAAACATTCTCCAGCCTCACACGCTGAGAGGCTCTGTCCTACATGGAAACAAGACCAGAGGGCAAGGAGTATAAACACCACCACTGTTTGCCACAGCCACCTACCTTGGATGCCTGGGGTGTGGAGACCACATGGATTGTGCTGGGTCTGACACCATTGGCCTTGGTCCGCTTATAGAGGGCAAATCTGCTTTTTCTCCTGCCCCTGTCACCATTAGGCAAAGCACCATTGTACCTAAAACAGAGAAAAAAAGCACTCATTTTTCTGTAAGCTTTAAAAGTGTCAAGTGCGCACATTAGGAGAAGGACAGGAATGGTCAGAGAGCTGCTCACTGAGCCCCCCACGGAGGGAGAGAGCTGTACACAGACTTCAGCTGTAATAAAATCCAAATCACTCCCAGAGACTTCATTTAAAAGCGATGTACAAGTAATTATAGGTTTCCTATTCTATAAGGACAGGCTCTTCAAATCTTCGGAAGAGACAAATGAGTATTCTACAGAGCTGGCTTGATTCAGCTAGAACCATTCTAACAGACTTCGGGAAAGCACTTGAGAAACATTTTAAATGAACTAGTTAGGAAAGAGTATGCTAATTGAAACTCATCTCTCACTCTCAAATCATGGTAATGCTTTCTTTACAATCTTTATTCGCAGAAGACTGAATTTAGTTACTTTCTTCAAAGTTTTGAATCCTATATGCATTCTGATTTCTTTGAACCCTATAATGCTAAGTTAACGAAAAAAACAGCTTGTACAAATTATACATGAGTTTTAGCCCACTCTCAGAAAAACTGGCAAGTAAACAAGTCATGGGGTGGTTTCTTACATTTAGCTAATGACAGAGTTTAAAGAAATTCAGGAATTACAACTGACAGTCTGGTTTCAACTGCATGTGCTAACCATAGATTTACTGATCTCCCAAGTGGTCAGAAGGATTTGACTGAGATTCTTTGCTGGCAACACAGAGAATCTCCTCTCAAGAGGAGTGAAAGAGAGTCATATAAATTTACTCAGATAAACACAGCTGCTCCAAGATCCTCTGGGAACAGCCACAGATCTGGTGGCTGTTCCTACTTCTGCCTTACCCAGCAGACCCTTGGCTTCCCTCCATTTCTCCCACTCTATACGGGGAGGTGTAGTGTGGGAGGGTGAGGCCCCTGGGAACTGCAGAAGTTGGAACAAAGGGGTCTGGGTGTTTGTTTAAGACCTGAGTCAACAGCTCCACCAGACAATGGTTTCATATTACCACAGAAGTTATTTGTACTGTGCTTGTAATCTGTTTCCAGGCCCATCAGAAAGGAACCAGCTACCTAAAGGTGTCTCTAGACTAAAGAAATAATGTTTCAAGTTTTAATCCTCTCTTTTTTTCCCCTTAGGCAAGATGAGAAAATGTACAGTTTCCACAAATCTGCAGTCACTACTATCAATCAAGCACTCCTGAGTAAACAACCATCATAAAACTCACTTTTGGGAATTTTGATACCACTTAACTCAGGACCAGAAAGCAATTAAAGTCAAGACAGCAAACAACTTGCAGGAGAGTTTTCACTGCTTTGTACAAGACAGACTTACAAGCTCTGTCAAGGTTTCCCAGGCCATACACACTTTGCTCACCCACACACTCCCAGTCAGGGGAAGGGGAACCCAGCCTGGGAAGTGTGCCCCAGACGCAATGTAGCTCTCTGCTCCTAACTGAATTCCCTTCTCCCAAGTCTGCCCTTCCCCTCACAGGGGAGGCTCAGTACCACTCCCTGTTTTGGTAAGATAGTTTTGCAGACATCTTCTGTCCTTCTCCACCTTACATCTGGTCCAATCTGGTCAACATCCTCCTCATACTAGGACACATGAAACTGGGACAAGGGGCAACTAACTGTTTTCTGTGGGTGGCCTAAGCCACATAATCACAGAGCTGTGGGAATGTCACATTCTGACAGAAGCAAAAAGTGAGGGGAACAGAATTTATAAGGGCTTTTGTTGGTTCGGATGTACTTTAACCCTTATTCGTGAAATTCTTTTCTATAGCCTCAAAATTATATCCAGCAGAAAGAGGAGTCAGAAATGCCAACACATGCAGAAACAATTTAATTTAAATTGCCTGTGTCTGTGCATAGATGAACAGATACTGTAGGTTAAATGAATAAACCAGTGTTCGGACAGATTGGCTACTTAATGTATCTAGATGACAAGTGAAAAATCCTATTGGAAACAAAATCCTGCTGGAAAAGCAATGGCAAAGATGAGATGGGTTTCTAAGTAGTTTAGGCTCCCAAGCAGTTCATTCAATATTTATAGTGCCCAGGACTAGAGCTGCAATGGTGAGAATCAGCTTCCTGCCTTCACAGAGCCTTCTGTGGAAGGAGCAAAAGATGCAACCATGTGATGAACACACGGGATGAGAGGCACTAGCAGCACACAGAGCAGGGAAAGACACTCTAGAGTTGTCTTGAATCCAAGCCAGAAGACTGAAGGCACAGCACACACCAAGCAAGGAGGACTGAAGGAGTTCAAGTACTAAGTTTCAGAAGAGTGGAAGCTGTGGAAGGGTGGGAAGAACAGACAGGGTGAGACAACAACAGCAGGGTACTCCAGGACAAGCACCTTGGTTCCTTACCAAAGCAGACTAGGGAGTGCGGTAGGATTCCTTGGGTTAGAGTGACAGGACATAGGAAGTAATCAAGTCAGGTGCAAGGTGCAGGATGAACTAGTATGACCAGTGGAAATGATCAGTGGAGAGCATCATCATTGCCAGAGGGGTCAGGCAGAAGATGGATGGTACCTTCCCCAGAAAGATACGAACATATCCTGGAGCCTGTGAGTGAACTTTTCAGAAAAAGACAAAGGCTCTCAAGATGAAATTGGTGGGACCTAACTCTAATGACAGCATCTTTTAAGAGGCACTCAGAACAGAAGGAAAGGCCACATGAAGATGGACAGGGAGCCCAGAGTCCTACAACCACACTCTAAGGAATGCCTGGAGCCACCTGGAGCTGGAAGAAACAAGGAAGGATCTCCCCTGGAACCATCAGAGGACTGGGGCCCTGTCCACACCTTGATCTCAGCCATAAGTCTTCCAGGACTGTGAAAATATAAAATGCCTTCTGTTTCAGCACCAAGAGGGTGCTCATTTGTTTTGAGCCCAGGAAATTCCACTGGCCGATTCAAAGCTAAATGGTGGAGATGGGTAGGGCACAATACAGAAGGTTTAGCACTGGCTTGAGGTGTCATAAAAATTAGTAGAACTAGGAAGTCTTACATGGAAAGCTACACCCCAGAGACTTTAATGCAGCATGGGGAGCAGGCTCCAGGTCCACACCTATGCAAAGCTCCAAGGGCTGTGCTTGTGGAGGAAGAAAATCCAAAACAATTCAACAGCATAAACTGAGAAAGGAAAAGTCAAGAGAGGCTCTGGCCTGGCCAAGGTGAGGATACTTCAAAAATAAACACTGGAGTTACAGGTTAGTCAGAGGTGACACACGGAGGGCCGCTGTCACAGGTCTGGCAGCAAAGGCCTTTGCTGTGAGTGGGGGGCGGGGGGGGGGGGGGAAAAAAAGACATGCAGGAGAAACCAGGGGAACAAAAAAAGGA